TGAGTGAAGCAGGCAGGGCGGCCGCTGGAAAGGCGGTGCTCCGTCTCAAGGGAGTAGCTGCTCCCCTGCTCCAGCCATGGTTTGGTGGGGGAGACGGCAGGTGGGCGAATCTTGGCTCAGTATTGCCAGAGCTTCCTGCTTTTCAGAGAAGCCTAAGTCTTCATATTTGCCTGAAATCTCACAGGCTTTAAGTATTGGCAAATAATTAATTCAGTGTTCTGGAACCAGCCTCTGCTAAGGTTCTAACCAGCTTTGTCACTTCCTGGTATACATTCCAGAAGTCTCTTTTAATTTTAATCAACCTCACTGAGGTATAATTTACCTGCAGTAAAATCTTCCTATTTTAAGTGTGCAGATCCATGAGTTTTGACAAATAGATGCATACATGTAATCACCACAATAGTCAAGGTATAGAATATTTCCATCATCCCGAAAGTTCCCTGGGGTTCCTTCCCAATCAATTTTCACCTCTGCCTCCACCACAGCCCTAGACAACTACAGGCCACCCTTGCTTTACTGTTCTTCATTTTATTGCACTTTGCAGACATTTTTATACACTGAAGGTTTGTGGTAACCCTGCATCAAGCAAGTCTGTCGGTACCATTTTTCCAGCAGCATTTGATCAATTCATGCCTCTGTGTTGCATGTCATATTGTAATTCTCACAGTATTTCAAACCCTCCACCAGCAAAAAGATTATGACTTACTGAAGGCTCAGATAATGGTTAGCATTTTTAAGCAATAATGTATTTTAAAATTAAGGTGTAAACACTGTTTTTTTAGACATAATGCTATTTCATCCTTAATAGACTATAGTGTAATGTTAACATAACTCTTTTTTTTTTTTTTTAACATAACTCTTATATGTACTGGGAAATCAAAAAATTCATGGGACCAAAAAATTATTGCTATATTTGCTTTATTGTGGTGGTCTGGAATCAAACCCACCGTATCTCTGAGTTATACCTGTACTGATCTGCTTTCTGTCACTACAGACTGACTCTTCTAGAATTTTATATAAATATTTATATAAGTATTTACTCTTTGTGTCTGGCGTCTTTCACGTAGCACAGTGTTTTAAAATCCTTTTGAATTTTGTGAGGCTTGTTTTATGGCCCAGAATATGGTAAACATATCATAGGCCCTAGAAAATAATATGTATACTACATTGTTGGATGTAATGTTCTAGAAATATCACTTTAGTCAAGGGGGCTGATAGTGTTGTTCAGATCCTCTATGTCTTTACTGATTGTTTTGACTATTTATTCCATCAGTTATTGAGAGAGAAGTGTTAAAACCTCCAGCCAAGATTGTGGAATTGTTTACTTCTCCCTTTCATTCTGTCAATTTTGCTTCACGTATTTAAAGTTCTTCCATTTATGAATATTTGTCTACCTAACGAGTTGACTGTTTTATTACTTTAAAAGTCCCCATTGTGCTCTGATAATATTCCTGGTCTTCAGGTCTATTTTATCTAATGTTAATAGGGCCAGCTCCTGCTTCTTGGGCTTACTATTTGCATCCATTGACTTTTTTTTTTTTTTGCGGTACGCGGGCCTCTCACTGTTGTGGCCTCTCCCGCTGCGGAGCACAGGCTCCGGACACACAGGCTCAGCGGCCATGGCTCACGGGCCCAGCCGCTCCGCGGCACGTGGGATCTTCCCGGACCGGGGCACGGACCCGTGTCCCCTGCATCGGCAGGCGGACTCTCAACCACTGCGCCACCAGGGAAGCCCCATCCATTGATATTTAACCCACCTGGCTCCTCTCTGTTTAAAGCTTGTCTCCTATAGGTAGCATAGAGTTGAGTTGTCCTCTTTCACTCACCCCCAAAATCTCTACTATTTAACTGTAGTGTTCAGTTCATTAACAATTAATGTAGTTAATGATGTGGTTGGATTTAGAGCTACTATTTTATCATTTCTCTTCTGTTTGTTTCTCTTAAGTTTTTTAGTTGTTTGCATTTTCTCTATTCTTTTTTTCTGTCTTTTAAAGAATTATTTGAATATTTTAAAGGTTCCATTTCAGCGTACCTATTGGCTTTTTAGTTCCACTTCTTTGCGTTATTTTGCATTATTTGCTCTAGAGATTATAATGACTTCCTCAGCTTTTCTTAACAGTCTATTTAGAGTTAAGTTTGTACCACTTTACAAAATATGCAGAAAAAAGTCTTGCAATCATATAGATCCATTTACCAGAAAACCTTATCCCTTATAGCAAAGTTGCCATTTGAAAATCTATATACACCTACATACATTATAGACTCTACAAGACAATGTTACATTTTTCAAGCAGCCTTGTGTATTTTAAAGAAATTAGGAAGAAAAAATAGACTTTAATAATATTTACCCAGAATTTTACCATTTCTGATGTTCCTCATTCCTTTTGAAAGATTTGGGCTTCCATGTACTACCATTTCCCTTCAGACTGAGCAATTTCCTTTAGTTTAGGTCTGCAGGTGATTAAGTCTCTTAGTTTCCTTTTATTTGAAAATTCTTTGCATTAGTTCATTTCCACCGTCCTCCAGGTCCCATCTCACCTCCTCCACGCAGCCTTCCTGGGCTCCCAAAACACAGGAGGCCCTCTTCTCAGACACTTCCACATTGTAGGAGGCTAATAAGCCCAAAGGCCATCCACAGAATTGAATGCTTGGTGGACGACCAGTCCTCTTTCATCCATCCTTCCCTCTCTCCTTCCCTTTCTCCCTTCCCTCTCTCTCTTCAGATCCCATTTCTTCTCAGAGGAAGAGGACCAAAAGAGGGCAAGAAGCAGGCTGCAGAAGCTGACCGGGGAGACCCCCTTCTTGAGCCGGGTCCCCCCTCCAGCAGTGCGCACTCCCCCCTCCCCTCCCGTGAGCTCCTAGCGTTGCTACCAGGAACATCGCAGCCACCGACAAGAGTTGTCAGAGCCCTGCAGACAATCCTTTTACTGCCGTGCCCATTACATTCTGGGCTGAAGGAGAGTGGGGACTTTGTGTTGTGGACCTGGGTTCTAAATCGCCACCTCCCTCCCGGGGGGCTAGGCTGGTCTCTGTTTGGGTCCCTTCACACCGGGTGCCTTGTCCAGACTGCACACCAGGCAGACCCGTCGTGGGAAAGGAGTGGGGCTCAAAGAGCGGGCGCAGAGATTATTCATGGAGGGGGGTGTCTGTTTGGGCAAATTTGGTGGCAGTGGGATCTAGTGTGACAATCCTGGTCCAGCCTTCAGGGACCCACATTCCAACTCTGCCTCTGACTGCATCTCACCGGAGACATTTGTGGGGTCCCTTCCTCTTCCAGCCTCAGGTTTCCATTCTGTGCAGCAAGAGGTCAGCTTGTTCCCAGTTTTCTACGTTTTTCTTTTATGGTCTGAGACTGTACCCCTTCCCTTTACCTCCTCAGCCGGCACTGCGTCTGCCTCTACCGCCAGGAGAAGTCTGGGTCTCTGTGGAATGGAGTTCCCCAGGAAACAATCTGAGGGGTTTTTAAGGAGGCTCGCTTTTTCTCATCTCGGTTTTCCTGGTTTTGCTCTCTCACGGTGAGTCCAGGGCGCCCCCGGCGCCAGGTGCAGTGGAGAAAGTTTTAGCCATGGCATCAATGGATCTGCATTCGAATCCTGGCTGTGTGTCCTTGATCAAGTTACAGAATCTCTCTGTAAGTTACAGTTTTCTCACCTATACAGTGGAGATAGTAGTATTGATTGCACTGGATTATTTGGAGGATTAAATGCAATAAGGCAGGTCAAGTCCTAACACAGTGCCTGGCACGTAGTAAACCTACAATGAATGTCATCACCATCACCATCATCATCGCTATTTACCACCTCCTCTCTTACTCCAGGGAAA